ATGAAAATGATGCTCTATTATCATATGGCAAAAGTTAACAATAATGAAGCGCTACGAAATATTGTCATACATTTATTTTTTCTTAAAGCTAAATTTAACGTTCAAATTGTTTGCCTTCGGCACGAATACAGGCTCTGCATCGTCTCAGAAAAGATCTTTCTATTAATCGTGCGTATCTCCTTAAGTTTATTTCATCTGCCTTTTCAGATATTTTGCGGCGTAGTTCGGCTAGATTTTGTATTGGTTTCAAATACACTTTTTCTTTTATGCAGCCCCAGTAAAAGAAGTCAAGTCGATTAAGGTCCGGAGAACGAGGAAACCATAAAATTGTGCCAAGGCGTCCAATACACCTACCAGGATGTTCTGTGTTTAGATGATTCCATACGGACGAGAAGCTTTAAAAACATATCCCTATAGAAGATATACCACTAAACATATGTCAAATTATAAAAATATAATATGTGGACCGGAATGTTAAACGGACAAATAATCGGACCATTTGAGCTGCCTGAAAACTTAAAATTAGGCAACTACCTACCTTAATTTTTTACAAAATAATTTACTGAATTTATTGGAAGAGTACTGTTCCAATAAATTCAGTAAATTATTTTGTAAAAAATTAAGGTAGGTAGTTGCCTAATTTTAAGTTTTCAGGCAGCTCAAATGGTCCGATTATTTGTCCGTTTAAAATTCCGGTCCACATATTTTATTTTTATAATTAATAGAATCAGGCGTTACTTTGCGGAAATCCATAATATAAAAGCTTTTTTAAAAAATTACTTAAAAAATTTACTTATGACGCAAACATCCGCGCTATAAAATAAAATGATGTCTTACCTAGTATGAAGAGCACCTCCCGCCCTCCCTCAATTGCGTGCACTATCCCCGTCACCACTAATCCCAGCACCGCTACGCCCAACACGACTACACTAAGCAAGACACACCACTGACGACAATACGACACTTTTTGTTTTGCCTTTATTTCCGGCTAACAGCCATGAGATTAAGACTGAATTCGGAAAATTTTTGTGTTCTTCTGCGGCGAGTCTTGCAAAACTTAGCTCCGACCCCATGAATAGTTTCCACGAGCTTGTCATTCATATCATCCACTCGCAGTCACACTCGCAGCCTTCTAGGCACTGAAAACGGTTTTGTAACTCTAGCTGAAAGATTTCGGCACTTTGGACGAGGGGGACGGAGCGTTGATTTCATTAGACGAGACCTTTCCAACTTAACGTTTAGGTTCAGTGTGCCTCTAACCTTTCGGTAATCGCTGCCAGTTTTCATCCTCGCGATCACATGTCTTGCGTATGTAGACTATGAGAAAGCCTTTGATTTCGTAAAAATTTGGGCGGTGCTGCAGTCCCTTCAAAGGTGCCAAGTTGACTGTCGGTATAACGAAGTAATGAAATGTTTGTACAGTAGGGCTACGATGGCTATCCGAGTACAGAACCAGAGTACGAGACCTATACAACTGCAGAGAGGTGTAAGACAGGGTGACGTTATATCCCCGAAACTCTACACCGCTGCATTGGAAGACGTTTTTAAGCAACTGGACTGTAAGGGATACAGTATTAACATCAATGGCGAGTACGTTCACTCACCTTCGATTTGCTGACGATATAATCCTTATGGCAGAATCGCTAGAGGAGGACCTAAGCACTTTGTTCAATGACCTCAATAGTGTCTCCCAACGGGTAGATTTTAAGACGAACATGGGCAAAACAAAGATCATGTAAACGTCCATGTTACACCTATGCCGGTAGTTGTTAGGAGCAATAAGCTCGAAGTTGTTGACGGGTATGTTTACCTGGGACAAATAGTCCGACTAGGTAAGTACAACATCGAACGAGAGGTCAATCGACGGATTCAACTCGGCTAGGCAGCTTTCGGGAAATTACGACACATTTTCTCGTCAGGTTTACCTCAAAACTTGAAAACGGGGCTGTAAAACCAGTGTGTGTTGCCAGTGATGACTTATGGAACTGAGACGTGGTCAGTCACTGCTGGCCGTATTAAGAAGCTCAAGGTCGCTCAACGAGCTATTAAGAGGGCTATGCTCGGGATTTCTCTACTTGATAAACTTAGAAATGAGGGTATCCGCAGTAGAGCTAGAGTGACCGACATAGTCCAACGGATTAGTAACCTGAAGTAGCAATGGGCCGGCTATATAGCACGGGTGATTTTTGAGCCTGAGCCACAGCGAGCATTGCATTATCGAATCATCTTAATCACACACACAAATTACAGCCACATACACCTGAACAGAAGAATTATATATACCTAGTCAGGTCATAAATTCTGTCACATGTTTAATATAAAATAATTGAAACAAGTTTATTCATTATGTAACCATTTATATACCAAAACGAACTTAACAAAACATAGATTCTTATGACACTAAAGTTTATTCAAAATGACCTCCGTGATTTTGAATACAGGCCTTCAATCTGCGTGGCCAGTCGTCTATCGCAGCACGAACGAGGTCCATGTCAATATCGGCGGCTGCCTTAATCAAGGATGTCTTGAGTAACTCCAAATTGGGATGAGGCTTTGAGCACGCCTTTTCCTCCAAGTGTTGCCATATCTTGTAATCTAACGGATTCAAATCTGGACTGGAGTCTTCCTGCCGGATGAAGTCGATTTCACGCGCTGCCAGCCAGTCTTGTGTGCTCTTCGCTCTATGAGCTGGCGCCGAATCTTGTTGAAATACCCAGTGCCTGTTATTGAACATGGTATGAGAAACAGGTTCCACAAGGTTCGTCAGGACTGTATTTTGATACACAACTGCATTCGTTTTTACACCTTTCTCACAAAAATGTACCTCTGTTAAGCCCCAATAAGAAACTCCCAACCATACCATGAGCGAGGATGGAAAATGACCTCGTTGGACACGTGGAATACGGTTGCTCGCTTCTTCACTACTGTGTGCGTACATCTTATCATTTTGTTTGTTGTAGCTCTCTTCTACGGGAAAAATGTTTTCAACCGAAAAAAGAATTTCCCGATATTTTTTTCCCGCGTACCGCTTCAACAAAGCGCGGCATCTCTTCAGTCTCAGGTCCATTAGACGAGCATTCAAACGATGTCCTGCTTTTCTTCGATATGCCCGAAGCCCTAAGTCTTAATTTAACACCCTTTTCGCCGTGGTTCTGCTGAACCCCATCTGAAGGGCCAACAGTTTCTGCTTACGTTTTGGATTTCTTTGAATTCGCGCCTTCACAGATTTTATCACTGCTGGAGTTCTAACAGACCGAGGGCGACCACTTCTTGACCTGTCATCTACACTAGAGTCTTCATTGTATCGTTTGATGGTACGATAAACGAATCTTTTGGTTATATTCAAATGAAATCGATGAAACGCAATAACTGCAACACGGTCTTCTTTAAACGTCCACTCCATATTTAAAAATGAGTAAAATTCTAAAAAGTATACAGTTTTATTTTCATGAACAATTCGAAATTCGAATTCAATAAACTTTTTTGTGGCCAGCATTCTAAAAGAAAAGTTTTTACTGTGTGGCAATACTTATGACTTGACTAGGTATATATTATGGTTGTAGCACGAATGGGTCGGCTCGACCGGTGAAAGACCACGCTCTCACAGATTACCAGCGTAAAATAGCACCTTAACGCTGCTGTGTTTCGTATGGTGAGTGTAGAGAACCGGAGACCCTTTTTACTGGAAAAGAGGCATTCCATCTCAGTCCTCACGGGTGACAACGCATCTGTATTTTGATTCGTAATCGAAGATAGATGTAGATGTTTATGGGCCACAGCAACCACTTTTACCATCAGGTGGACTGTGTGTTCGTTTGCCATCCTTATTCTATATAAAAAATCAATATATTAGACAATAATTACTGTCTTATTAACATAATATTATATTACTATAATAAAACAGAACTAAGATAAAGATCCTATATTTTACCTCCAAAAGATTAATAAATTATTCTATTTTCTGCCGACTTCAAAAAGTAGACGGTACTCAATTCGACTGTATGTTTTTTTTTTTATGTGCGTTACCTCATAACTTTTTACTGGGCAAGTCGTTTTTATTTGAAAGCTGGTACTTCACGTGTGGTCCCATATGAATTTGATCAAGGTCATACCAATAGTTTTTGAGTTATTCTTAATAATTTATATTGAAGTCGGCTGTACATAATTTTTAATTATAAATTATATTATAATTAAATATTTATATAATTAATAATTATTAAAATTATTAAAAAGGACTCTATGCAAGTAGCATCCCACACTAGGGCTTTACCTCTCTCAGTATCGATTATAAATTTATAAACCAATTCGTAGAACTACTATCATAGTTAAAATAAAAAACAAAACATTCGCGGAATGATTTCCACCGGCAAACGTAAATTATACGGCATCGAAACGTAATCGAACTGCAGATCGGAAAACAAAAATTTATATTTTTTACAAATAATATAATGGCTATCTATTATAAGGAATTTTAGAAATGTAGAGTTCGGGAATACGTAAAGTGTAAGGATTTAAGCGATATCAAATTATATCTTTACTTAACATAATATTAAATTACTAATAAAACAGAAATAAGATAAAGGTCCTATATTTTACCTCCAAAAGATTAATAAATTATTAATTTATAACTAAAGTAAGACCCATACAACGTTGACGTAATTTTTTTATCTCTCAAATAAAAACTCTACCACTTTAAGAATATTGTAAATTACAGCCTGCTAAGAGCTAAGACCTAAGACAATCCTGTCTCAACGTCACCGTGTTACACTAACTAATGAAACGCACGTATCCATTTAATTGTAAAAAAATGATATTGATAATCTGTACCGTGAATTTCTTTATCTGTAGTCTGTACATAGTCTTTGTTATTTTTTACCTGTTAACGAAGTAGGCTAACCTGGAAACAAGAAAGTGATACAAACACACAGTTGCGTTTGTGTGGAACTGTGGAATAGAATAATAGTGTAGTATGTAGTGTTAGTGGTAGTGCGGTAGCCGGTAGTGCATATTCGCGCGCCGGCAAGAGTGGTTCTGTGTCGCCCGTTTTGTATTATTTATTCAATGTTGTGACATTTCGACAAAATCGTTAGTTTATTTGAAAAACAAACAGCTGTTTCAAATTATAAATATGGATTTAACGGGTAAGCTTTTTTATATTAACCTCTTTCGTGAAAAATAATGAAGTTAAAACAATTTTGTGTTTGCAAAGAAAGAAGACAGCTTTATGTTGCTAATTATAGTGGTAGAGCTTTGCAGCAGAGCTGTCAAAACATATATTATCAGGAATGCAAGATAAATAACTGCAGTAATAGTTTGATAAACTTTCACCGGGTTACATATTATGAGAACATTATATCTAGTAATGACGTTAGAATGTGAACATTATCTTCGATCGCAGAAAATATAAAACTATTTCGCAGTATAAATGGTAGTAGTTATATCGAATTAATGAAATTCTAACTAAAATTATTTTATCATTATAATTGGAATCTAATATTAATTATGAAATATGCAACCAGTTGTTATAAATTTATAACGTACGTAATCTTTTCATAACGATGTATTTTCATAAAGGCGTACTTATTTCATAACGACGTATATAGGCTATTGTAATAAACAACTCTTATAATTAATCAAATTGTCATCACCTGAAATTATTTGTATGATAGTTGAATATTTTATCTAAATCGTTTTTAAATTATCTTTTATTATCTGTTTAAACCACAAATGATACATGTAAGTTATTATATTGTACCTAAATTATGATATACCTAATTTAAAAGTATTAAATGTAAATATAAAAAAATCATACCTATCATTAAATCGATATCGAAAATTAAATGAAAATGAAAAGTTATACGAGTACATACATATATGTATATTATATAAAGGTAAAGATATAATTTGATATGACTTTACGTATTCCCGAACTCTACATCTAAAATTCCTTATAATAGATAGCCATTAGGTATATTTTGTAAAAAATATAAATTATTGTTTTCCGATCTGCAGTTCAATTACGTATGTAAATCTGATGGCAAATGGAAATCCTTTGCCGGTGGAAATCACTTTGCGAATGCTTTGTTTTTTATTTTAACTACGATAGTAGTTCTACTAATTGGCTTATAAATATATATACAATACTGAGAGAGGTAAAGCCCTAGTGTGGGATGCTACTTGCGTAGATACTTTGGCTTGCATAGACCTTTCATCTCAGGGGTACCTAGTTTAGAGCCGGGCCGGTATCAAATGCAGCTGAACTTGGTAAGGGGCACAAATATGAGTCCCTGAGAGATGACTACATATTTGTATATATAGTCATCTCTCGGGGAGATATATATATATATATATATATATATATATATATGTGTATATATATATATATATATAGACTATCGGTTCGTGGGATCCTCGTGAAGTTCCTAAAGGAACTGTATCCGCGACTGAGCTGCGCTGCTAGTGATAGGAGGGCTGGTTATTTTCTCGCTCAAACGCTAAGTAGCCATACTAGCCATTCAGCGAGAAAACGCAGCCAGCGTTCTTGGCACGATACAACGGGGCGTTTAAGTTATTAGTTTTTTTATTATAGTTTTTTTTTAATATTGTACAAGTATATATTGACTTATTTACACAATTCAACTACAACTGGCTACAACAGAATCGGGTAGGTCAGGATAAGTGCTGTGTTAGCCTAAGGCACATTTACCACGTGCTCGGCGGTGAAGAAAAACACCGTGAGGAAACCGGCATGTCTGAGAAATAAGAAAAAATATTTCGAAGACATGTGAAGTTCGCCGTCACGCGTTGGAGCATCGCGGCGGACATTTAATTGCCCTAAAACTCTCAGAAATGAGAGGAGGCCTGTGCCCAGCGGTGGGACGTATATATAGGTTGTAACTTTAACTTTTAGTCTAAGACCTCAGAGTAAAGCGTTGGGAGGAGCGTACGGCATGGCATCATGAGAAACATACTGCATTGTATGTATTGCAGTTTCCTGGCAGTCGCTTGAGTTGGTGAGAAACGCGATGCCATGCCTACAGTTGTCGCATGTTTACACTTGTGGATCTTTAATCATTTTAGTACAGTCGGTAGATTTATTGATTATATTGTCAGTTTGTACGAAAATCGACCAAAAACATCGTTATTGTTTCGGAATTATTGTTATGTATGTAGGTAGAGTTTAAGAATTAAACGAAATGTAACGTGATGATAATATATTACCAGTTATATTTATATCAGTATCATACATATGCGGTAGCAAATATTATAATGGTGTATATTCAATACCTCGTGGCACTTAATTGTCTTGCTTTTAACATCGTCCAAACTCTACGTTATTTTACTTACATATGTGTCTAAATTTTTTTAATCTAAGTTTTTTTTAGAATTGGGGTGACAAACGAGCACACAATCCACCTGGTGGTAAGTGGTTGCTGTGGCACATAGACATCTACATCTATCATCGTTTGTGAATTAAAATGCAGATGCGTTGTCAGCCGTGAGGACTAAGATAGAATGCCTCTTTTCCAGTAAAATAGGCCTCCGGTTCTCTACACTCACCATACGAAACACAGCAGCATTAAGCTGCTATTTTACGCTGGTATTCTGTGAGAGCGTGGTCCTTCCCCGGTCGAGCCGACCCATTCGTGCTACAACTATACTATTAATAAGCTGCAGCATGGCTCTACCACGTAAGAAAGGATTTAAGGATTCTATAATAGAGTACGATGTTTAAAGTGTGTAGAAACTTTTATAATCTTAAGTGAATCCACTACTCTATATTATCATCCCATGGACGTCATAATGACAGGGGGAAACTGAAACAGGACATGGTCAGCAGCATCTCCCTAACAACTAAATTATACCTATAATAAAATAACTGCGGCTGCCAATCGTGGTAACTATGCTAAATATCCTAAAGGAAATATAAGGGGAAGCCTAAGTTCAACTTTTGATGGACTGTAATGTATAAAAAAAATTAAGAAGTTTAAGGATAATATGTATAAAGTAAGCAAAAATATTTCTGCATAATTTGAGATTATGACAAATTTTCTGTTGGAGATTATTATGTACTCAACTGAATAACTATTACGTGGTAAAACAATTCTGCAGGTGTATTTAACGAATGGGCGGCTCGATCTATGAAAGACCGGCTTCCACTGAATACTGACGTAATATAGCACCTTAATGCTGCTGTGTTTCGAATACGATAGAGGTAGAGTACGATAGAATTTTGTACGTGGTAGAGCCATGTTACAGCTATATTACTGATATAGTAGTAGCATGAATGGATCTACTTGACCGGGGAAGGACCACGCTCTCACAGAATACCAGCGTAAAACAGCAGCTTGACACTGCTGTGTTTCGTATGGTGAGTGTAGAGAACGTCCTCACGGGTAACAATACATCGGCATTTTGATTCGTAATCGAAGATAGATGTAGATCTCTATGGGCCACTGCAACCACTTACCATCAGGTGAACTGCGTGCTCGTTTGTCACTCTTATTCTATAAAAAAAAAGTTAGAGACTTTGTTCTTTAAATTATTAAAGATTTATAGATTTTCACTGCAATTACATTTGAATCGTAAGAAATGTACAGATGTTGAATAAAGATAAAATTAATATAATATATTAGATCGTTTTACTTCTACTTTAAATTTACTTTGCATAAATTAATATAACCTTTAGTGCCTTTGTACATAATTATGTTTTTACCATTGTCCTATCGAATTATGTGTGTACATAAACTGTTAAATAAATAAAATAAATAAATAAATAACTTTATAAGTATAATATATTACCTAATATCTAAAAACTTTTTCTAATTAAAATCTACTTTCAATAAATTAACATAAATAAGAATGCGGGAAATTTCAACTAATAGCAATAATTGCCGTTATTTTACGTAACTCATGAAAGCGCCATTTATGGCCGGAAAACGGGGAAACGTTTTCCGGCCATAAATAGATGGCATCGATAGGCCTAATACAGTTGATCGAGGCCGGCACATACATACGGAATTCCGTTTCGGGATTCAGTTTGCCCGCAAAATTTCGAACGGAAAACTACCGTACGTGTGTAAGGCCCGCCACATACATACGAAATTCCGGAATTTCGTTTCGGAATTCCGAACGGGTTGGCCACACACATACGGAATCCCGTTTTGCTTGCAAAATTTCGAACGGAAAAGTACCGTACGTGTGTGACGGGTTATAGATTTTATATGACTTGCTGCGTTCGGAATCTCGAATCGGAATATCGAAACGGAATCCCGAAACGGAATTCCGTATGTATGTGGCGGGCCTAACGGGTCATAGATTTTTTATGAACTTGCTGTGTTCGGAATCTCGAATCGGAATTCCGAAACGGAATCCTGAATTTTGTGGCGGGCCTAACATCGCCATTTATTTTTCGACAAAATTTTATGCATGCACTTGCGAATAGGCTGCTCAAATTTTCGATAAATACAGTGATTTTTAATGTGTTTCTCCAAGTTTTATAAAGGTGAGTCATATATTTTAGCCTCTTACATATTACTAGCTTAATGGAGCTGTAGCTTGTGTTTTAATAGAAATTTGGTAATAGTTTAAGTAGCCCCACTAAAATTGGGATGTCGGCTAATTTCAACTATTTGTCAGTTGAAATTACCACTCCAGATTTCGTATGAAAATGAGCAAACACTAGTGATGTACATGTTTAATCAATGGAAATACTTACTTTAACTATACTTACCCTATTAAGGGTTATGTTTTTATTATAATACGTCAAATTTAGCATATGTTTTTATTATAATACGTCAAATTTAGCATTGTAGATAGATAGCGAGATATACTTCGCTACTGTAGTTAGTGGCTCAGGACCGTGCTTTGTGGCGTTCCTTGGGGCCTATATGCAGCAGTGGACTTGTGAAGGGCTGTAAGAATGATGATGATAATGATGAAGTTGTTGTTTATAATTTAGGTTTTGATTTTTTTTAAATGATAAATATTTTTGTATTTGAAATTTAATAGTTTGTTAAGTAGTAATACTAATTCCGTCTAAAAATCAAGATTCCAACGTTTTGTCGCATGAAATCGTATCTAACAATTATATTGAACATATAAATGATATAAAAAGCACCTTGTCAGAAAGATACATGAT